TGATGGTCTAACTTTAAATATGGTTTGCTTATGTTTGCCTGATACCATAGACCATATAACTCACATTATTAATGTCTGTCTCGAAACAGGTTACTTTCCTGCCAGTTGGAAAAATGGTATTATTATTCCAATAGCTAAAACTAATCATCCAGAACAATATTCGGATCTCAGGCCAATTACCTTATTATGCTTTCTATCAAAAATACTCGAAAGAGCTGTCTACTCACAACTAGTGGAGTTTTTCGAACAAAATTACTTATTTCCTCTACATCAGTCAGGTTTCACAGCTGGTTACAGCACAACTTCGTCTTTATTACATCTTACTGATTCCATCATTAACAATTTAGACAATCACATCAACACCGTCTTGGTACTGTTAGATTTCTCGAAAGCCTTTGATATGGACAATCACCAGATACTACTGAGTAAGTTATCTCATTATGGAAGGTCAGATATAGTTCTAAGGTTCTTTGACTTCTTTGACTTGCTAAATTGTCAACAAACAGTGAAAACTGATCAGGGAATTTCCTCCTCTGAGCCAGTTCCTTCAGGAGTTCCTCAGGGCTCAGTATTAGGTCCCTTACTATATCTGATTTATACGATCGATCTGCAAGACTGTTTAGTCCACTGTAGTATGCAAACTTATGCAGATGATACTCAGTTAGTGTTTGGTTTCGATCCATCAAAGGTTGATGAAGTTTCTTTTAAAGTTAATTTAGATTTGGCTAACATCGGTGATTACTGTAACAAAAACTGCTTGAAGATCAATCCCAATAAAACTACTGCAATGTTGTACTGTTCGAAGAACTCCTACCGTGAAATGAAGCAGAGGATTTGTGTTTTTTTGGATGAGACACTCATCCCTTTTGTGGATTACGCCAAGAATCTCGGTGTTACCCTTGATTTAAATATGAGATTCGATCGGCATGTCTCTTTCTTATGTAGAGTGAATTTTAAAACCCGAAAAAAGCTCGCTGAAAGTCTTGTGTTGTCTGTCATTTCTTACTCCCTTGTTCTGTATTACCCATGTTTAGACTACGTCCACAAAAGGAAACTCCAGAAAATTCAGAACAGCTGTTGTAGGTTTATTTTTGGATTGCGCAAGTTTAGTCGCGTTTCAGATAAAATCAAAGAACTCAACTGGTTGCGAATTGATAAGTTATTTTTATATCTTTTGACCGTCTTCACGCATAAAGTTCTACTATCTAACAGACCAGCTTACCTCGCTAGCAAATTAGTTCACCGAGGTAGTTTTGTTACCAGAGCTCTTAGAGTTAATGCTAATTTTAACATGCCTCCTCACAATACCTCGGTCTTTGAAAGAGGTTACAGCTATAATACTGTCAAGCATTACAATGCAGTCAACAGTGGCTATCGATCCAAACAGGTTGTTTCTTTTAAGAAATTAATGAAAAGTCAGCTGCTGGAGTCCATTTAGTTCAGTTTTTCTTGTACTCATGTGATTTTTTTTTATTTTTTTTTGTTTGACTATTTTCTACTATTTTTGTTTCAAATTTAAAACTCTCGCAATACTATCGCATTTGTCTCGTGCAATCAATGTTGTCATTCTTATGAATTGTATTTTTTTTTTGGTATGTTATTATTTTGCTTATGTGTTTAAGTATTAGTTTTTCCTGTTGTGGGGTTGAGTGTAAGAGTAGCCGTCTGGCTAAACTTCGCCTCACTGCAGTTAATAAAGGCATTATTATTATTATTTCTAACAAGAAATTAGGCCCCCTGAGGCTTCACCTTATTTGACGGAGACCTAAGTTCGCCAAGTTTCGTTGTCTTCTAAAAACAAGAGACGAAATTGAAAATTTTGCGGAAATGAGAGTGCAAAATGCCACCTTAGAATTGACCACTGCGACAGTGAGACAGCAGGTTGCCTGTGGTTGACAGCCGGACATCACTGTGGCCGCTAGATGCCACCGATTCTGGTTGCACAGCAGATACGGTCTACTCGCTATTGAACAGACTAGTAATATAGCTTTCGTCAGTCCGACGACAGATGGCTATTCATAGATAGCTGTCTCGTGCTTTTTGGCAACTCATCAGCATGATGCAAAAAAGCCCGCGAGACCATATGCATACTGTTATGTCACGATTTTCTCCATTTTCTTTCAAACTGATCGATCATGTGTAAGTAAACATTCGATTATATAGAGCGTTCTGGCAAAAGATAAGCAACCAGTAAGTAGCCAAATGGTGGCGCGGCTCATCTGGATTCGATCTCCCGTAAAGAATTTTCTTTTGGTGTTCTTTTTAAACATAATCCAGCAGTGTAAATGTTTTATCCAAGGGAGTACATATTCATATAGTTAGCAAGCAACAGCTAACCTTGAGAACTGCAGCATAATTAAGCTATAGGAGTGCCCCTTTAACTTTTACTTCTTCAAGCTTTCGGTCAACAATGCAACCATTATCAGGAGATAGAGTTACTAAAGTCGCAAAATTTCACAAAAAAATTGACGAAGCAGAAACAACTTACTAAGTTGTTGAGGTAGTCGCTACATCGATGCTATATATAACCTCTTGTCAATACTAATCAGTAATGGGTTTTTCTCCCAAAAATGTATTCCTTAATAATTTTGACATCTTCAGCAGTTTTCATTATAACTTTACACATATTATTATTCCTACTTATCCTGTACTGTAATTTGATTTAGTCGGATATGACCTTCACCTGTATTTTACTTATAGTTGGGTTTCTGTTAAAATAATATCATAGTTTTTCTTATAAAATGTGAACACGCGCTTTCTAAAAAAAATTGTGGATCAATACTTCAACAAGATTTTCAATTGTCATAGAATGCGTCATCTTAGATGTAATTTGGTAGCTAGATAAACCTCAATTTCTAGATCGCGACATTGTCAAATGGGTGGGAACCAATAGTGTGTGTGCTATGAACTGAAGGCAGCATTGCGTAGTACAGTCAGCCTACTTGAAGCCTTTTCGTGGGCTTTTGTGTAGTGGGAGATCTGTTAAGGAGCGGCAACCCTCACATATCCTCAAAGTAAAAATTACATATCTCAAACCATATTATATTTCATATACTAAAGGTCGATTTATAAACTCCCAAATGAAAGGGAGCCAGCAAGTGTTTGTTGAAAGGGATCAGCTGTTTTCTCCACATGCTTTTCTTTTCTGTTTGATATTAACATATGTTTTGTGATGAAGATCCTCCATCTAGTTTTATAGCTATAACTATTTCTGGTCTAATTTTGTAGCTCATGCAGTTTTTTGACTTTCAAAACGGCAATTATGCAACAAATCAATCCTAATTTGCGAAGGTGTCAGGCTCATTTGCATCATCCATTTATGCAAAATCCAAATCACCTTTTGTCATATTTAAAAAAGGATGCAATTTTCGGTTAGATTATGCGTCACGCATCGTGACGTTTGTATAAAATGGCAGCGTTACGGTACGCCGACATTAGGGCTTATAAATTCAGTTATCGGCAATATACCGATAACATTTGCAAGTAAGACGCACTAACTATAAATCATTTCAACGTTCTTTATTAAAAATATTTATTCAAAATTAAACAAGTTGTCTTTTACAAATTATATATTTCTTAGACTTATACATATTTACAATATTGGATAGATTTATAAAAAAAGTGCTTCCTGAGTGATCACTGATTTCTGCCATAATGACTCAAGTGCCTCTACAGGTTAAACGCAGTGAATGATCACTCGAGTAGTCTTAAGCTGCATTCCCATTGATGTGAAGTTACGCGAAGCGAATAACAGCGATGTTCAATTTTGCTTCCACTATACTCGGGTCCGAAAAGGAAGAGAACGGCTGAACACGTCGCACGCCACTGTAAGCGTTTCGTCTCTTTGAATATGGGACGTCGCACATGCAGAAGAGTGCGGATAATTTTGCTACACTTTTCCCTTTCGGTACCAGGGTATATGCAGCGCTAGTGTGGTTGGAGGTCAAACTGCCAAATGCAGTTAGCAAAAAAGATAGATTTGATAGGGTAAAGAAAGGCAAATATTTTAAATTCAATGACAATTTTATTTTCTTCTCAAATATTCTGCGATGCTGGTCTTAACCTATTTATAACTTTAGGCATGACGTCAAACTAACTAAATTACCCCCATTGCCATTGCGTTATATAACACGTCTCCTCCTTTCGCGTCCCTCCAATATATGAGTTTTAGTTTGAGTATATGTTTCTCTTCTCTTTACTTCCCAAAGCACATGCACCGAAGTGCAGAATTTCCCCCTTTTCATCCTAATTTCCCTCCCGTTTCTCATATCTTCCCGTTTCTCATAAAATTTTTGTAGACAATGATAACAATAAAAAAACGTTCATCTTTCATTTTTACCCCTTGCATAGAGAATGAGCCTCTAAGAACCAACGAATTCAGAATAGGTAGAATTAGCAAGCCTACTATTCGCTTATCTCCCAAATCTATCTGTAGTCAGGATGAAAGTGCATACTATAGGAACTATAGGTGAACTTGACATAAACTAATTTTTTGATAGTGCTGTCATTAAATTGCCATTTTTAGTAAATGTAACATCTGCCTTATCCTGTGGTTTACATCTCGATTATTGTCCCATGTTTGTGGCCAATAAAACCACATGTATTGACAGATCTTTGGTATTAGTAAACGCTTCAATTACACTGGTACAATGAGAATATTTGATTTATCTGTCTTAGTGGAAATCACCTTGTGATTAAGTACCTTAACGATCTGTCAGTACATGTAGTTTTATTGACGCGCATGGGGAGATTGCATTTCTAGTATCATTTTTCTAAAGTGCGGGTGTTTGCAGATAGTTGTGGTATTAGAAGATATGCCTTGGATAATTTGCAAAGCTTAATGAAGGCAATGGTAGTTAAATGAGTCAAAATGATGCATTAGGCCTTTGTAATTTTTTCGGCAAACAATGCGATGTAATGATATAGGCTTGGCTCCTTCTAATCTATTCGAATTCGTTGGTAAGAATTGATTGGGTCCTGGACCCTGATTGCACCCCCCCTTACATCGTACACAACATATCAACACTAAGACATCTGCCGATATTCTCCTTTAGCTTGGTTGGTGACAGCTTATTCAACATCAACGGTGCTGACAGATCACTCAACATTCTTGATGTCAACTTATTGAACGAGGATTTCGTAGACTTGGCTGTAAGTGTGAATTTACCACAGCTCTGGAAGGACGACTTCACTATTCGTGACCCGTTGATTTTGAAATCATCGTAGAATGAAAGATTACACCAATCCTGGAACAGAAACAATTATGGTTAGAATCCGCCGTACTTATGGAAAAAAAATGTGAAAAAAATTTACAAGTGTTCGAAAAGGTATAGTCAAATGTTATCTAATACCTATACATCTCGATTCAAATTTTATAATTGAGTCAGGATCTGGACTTTTTGTGGACGACTTTTATGACTCATTTCAATGGTATGCTAGAACCTGAGTATCTACAGACGATTACTTATATCTGCTTAGAGAAACGGAAACAGTCAAGGGTTCTGCAGTCGCAAAGTGTTGCTTTTAGTAATTTGATTCCATCGTCTCGGAACCGATACCTCTGATTTGTTCATGATTTCTTTTAATTCCGATTTCGTTGGATTCCAGAATGAAAAAAAAAATCTGCAGATAAATATTAATCAACAGATGTTTTGATGTTTTTTGAAATTATATAAAACTTTTGTGACCATGTGGGTTTCTTACCTCACTGCAATTGGCACTGTCGTCATCAGCTCGGCCGCCATGTAGCCTTATAGAGAACACTTCAACTTGAACATCAAGGGAGTCTTCGAAATCGAACACAGTGAATTCATCCTTGAAGCTCAGTTTTCCGTCCTTATCAGGCATCATTGGTTCCGACATGTAAAGATCGTCGTTGTGTGTCACAGCAATCATCCAGTAGTCTCTAAAGAAACCTGAGCCTGGTTCTATGGTAAAGTTAATTTCTGATATCTTCACCGTGCTCATTTTCTTATTTGAAGCAGTTTTTGATTCGTCTTTTTCGTTCTTCAGAGCCATGATTTTGGATTCAATGAGTTTTTTCTTCAAGTCTGGAAGAAAACAATTAATTGGGTTAATGAGATACTAGACACTATATTAAAAAAATGCCAGACAAATTACCAAAACTTCGAGCAACAGTACTTTTGTTAATAACCCGACACTATGTGTGGCAAAGGGTATCTATATGCATAGTGCTTCTTAAAAAGGCTCCCCTACTCGTTTTTGTACGGGTTATGTTAGCATGTTGAATTTCGGAATGAGGCATGGATAATAAATACTATATTTTAGTGTAAAAATGGCAGTTGAAAATCTCGAAATTGCGATTGGTGCAATCTTGGAATATTTCTTTGAATGGAATATAGGCTAATCATATTAGCAAATTGCAAAGTCTGGTTTTATTGGTGCAAGTTGTTCAAGGGGGTATTTAAAACATGAACGCATAAAATGGGTACACCAATTTTTGTAGGAAAACTTTTTAGTTGACAACAAAGAATAAGAAAACTTGTTTTTTGAGATTCATTCAAAACTGTTGACAGGAACGAAAAAAGCTTATATATCAGATTATTAGGTGTTTATGATACCTACAAAATGAGACCACACGTAAAAAGATCCGACTAATAGCAAACATTTTGTGGCCGAAAAATGAGGCAAAATGCAAGTTTTGGCACTTGTTGAGACTTGTAAGTAACAACAACAAAATTGGATTATATTGGTCAAGTAGTTTTTCGAGAATCCTTAATTGTTTATCCCAAAACACCTGTTTTCCGACCACCACTACTACTATATTGAGTAATATACAGGGTTCGTTCTAAAAGCATTTAATAGCAAAAGCGAAAGATAAATGTTATTTTTATGCAAAAAATAAAGGTTACGTTACTTTCTTCTAAATAAATTCAAACATTTCGTATTTGTGAGTAATTGAACAAATGTGCTACGATATTCGAAAAAACATACGTTACTCTACACATTTTAAAACAAAGTGGATGTGTCTATCACCTTTTGTTGCGAATTACTCACAAATACGAAATGTTTGAATTTTTTTAGAAGAAAAAACGTAACCCATCCTTTTTTTCATAAAAATAACATTCATCTTCCGGAGTGGTTTGCGATTCATATCGGTAAGGTAAACTACTGAATTTTGCTATAAACTGTCCTTTGAACTAACCCTGTATATTGCTCAATAAACTAGTAATGATGGCCGAAAAACAGGTGTTTTGGGATGAACAATTAGAAATTCTCAAAAACTACTTAAACAATCTGCTCCAATTTTGTTGTGGTTATTTAGAAGTACAAATCCTACGAATTTGAGGAATTTCAAATATCTGCGAGAAACCATCGTCGCATTAACAACAAGTGCCAAGACCTGAAGTTTTACTTCGGTTTTCGGCTATAACTTTTTTGCTATTAATCGGATCTTTTTACGGGTGGTCTCATTTTGTATAACTCATAAATACCTAAAAATCTTATATGAAAAGTTTTTTCGTTCCTGTCAACACTTTCGATTGAATCCCAAAAAACACGTGTTCTCGTTCTTTGTTGTCGAATAAAAAGTTTTCCCACAAAAATTGGTGTACCCATTTTATGCGTCCATGTATTGAATACCTATTTGAACAACGTGCAGCAATAAAACCAGACGTTACAATTATTTCGCAAAGCAGGGGTATTTTCGTATATGATTAGACTAATGCGTCTGATGCGACACTGTTATCTGAAACTCCTTATGAGAAATTTATGATGCTATTTATGTAATAGTAGTAATTTATGATCAGTTGAGCATCTTTGTACATTGAGTAGTTTGTAAGTCAACAATCGATTTTATCAAAGCGCTAAAATGTGTTACACCGTACTTCCCTTGGCCGGATCACTCCCAATATGTATAAAATATCGGCAATTCCATTTGAAAATTAACAAAATCTGTTAATTTTTCAAAGAGAATAATCATATTTTATTGCAGATTCGAATAGATCCTTCCATAATAGGTTTTTGAGCGACCTTTTTAAGTAAATATGTTTTTATGTGTTTAAGCAAGCGTCTTCGAGGAAAAAAATTAGAAACAACTTCATTGCATGTCGAAAAATTGTTAAAATATGGGAGCAAAAGCCTGCTTAGAAGTGAGATTATTTTTTGTAAATAGTTATGTCAAATTCGTTATTGATCATTTATTTTAAGAGATAAATACAGTGAATCTTCAAATAAATTAAATTAATTTTGTTTAAAAAAATCGACATGTAATGAAGCCATTTTTATTCCTCGAAAACGAAGGTACGTAGAGATACTTTGCATTGTTAGCTGCTTCATTCAAGAAAAAAATTAATATTTTTTAAAAATCCTGTGGCGTACATTTTTTTCCGTTATAATTCGTGGAACTCATAACTATATTCTAGTTAATGCTATCTTAGCATCTTACGGCAAAGAATAACAGTGGCTAAATTCGGCACAAGTATCTTTGGAAAATGAACAAAAAATTTCATTTGAACTTTGACATGTATCCTGGGAACCAGAACTTTTAGGACCCCTTTTTTTAGAAACTTTTATACCTAAATATGGCTCAAGAGTGAGCCCTTGTAATTACGGCCTAACACTAAGTAGCGCCATTGTTTAAATCCCGGAGCACCGTGTTTTTTATTCGGAACAGTGCTAGCAAATAAACATGTATCTTTTATGTGGAACATCCTATATGTTTTCAGTGAAAATTGTAGTTCATTTTTTCTGATTATATATATATATAAACACACACAAAGTTATTGTCTAAAGTAATAAAAATTAGTTAAACAAACCATATATATCTGGAATTAAAAAAAGGGACTATCACCCTTACTAAAAATATACATGACGTTCCCTTTAAAAAATACTACTCTATTCGATAGCACTTCTCTGAGATAGCCTATAACTTTTATACACATTTTTTTTCTTCTAGATGGTCATATAAGAAAGTTAGAGGGGGGATCAATGTACTCAAGTACTTTAGAAAAATCAGTGTATGTAGATAAATTTTCCACTTACAACTTTCCAACAAAGTCCTCTCCGCTTTCAGTTCTTGCATAAGATCGGCAGCTCCAAGAATTTTGATGTCCAAGAGCCTTTCCGAAGCATTCGTCAACTTCACAAATTGAGCGTCTCTCATCAGCTTCAACTTGAGGTATTCCAGATTCTTGGAACTCATTCTGCTCAAACTCACCGCGCTTGTAGTTCTCTTTGACCTGCTTCCTATTTCGGTTACAGTGGGAACTGTTTCGTTGCAATTTGGGTCCACCTTTAAACAAAATCATGTTTTATGCTGATATGCTGGTAATTTATTTTTCAAATGGTTTGCAGTCAAAACTGATCTCAACCAAATTGATTACTAATCAGAAGCTTAGTTTCTGATTCTTACATAATTTAATGACAGGAATTTTGACCTCACTTTAAATGTGATGCTGCTATTAGTACGCATAAAAATGTAAAAACAAGTGTTTGCATTTCCAGTTTAAAAAAATCCAAATTCCCTGACATCTGTTGGAAACCAAGTGATCTGACTTAGGGGAAAGTAAGAATGAGTCATAAAAACCAGTGCAGTTGAATATATGGATAGTTAAAAACAATGAGTCAGCAGTTGTGTATCCCGCATTTTGTTTGCTTTCACTTTTACAAGTGCTGCTGGCTCCAGGTGTACTATTACACTAGTACCTCAAAAGAACAAAATGTTATGCTGCTGGGGCCCCCACTATATTTTTTCCACTTATTTTTTTTTCGCTGAAGTCAGGCTTGAGGGACACTGACAAATTTTAGAGAAAATCCACAAAATCGATAAAAATCATATTCAACAAAAAAAAGGGATGTGTACTGGAAGGTCTTCCTATATTTGCCCATCTATTTTTTCCGCTGAACACGAAGTCAGAATTGGGGGTCGCTGGTCAAATTTAAAAATAATGAAGTTTTAAAATCACACATTTTGGTATTTTTGCTGGATGTTTTTGGATATCTCTCTTTTTTATTTTGTGGGCCTGGGTAACAAAGACTGGATACAAAATCGTCTTACGCTGCACACCCTTATTTTGCCAAAAAAAATTAGGCATTGATTTTTGGGCACACATCAAGCCAGAGCTCTAGTCCCTGGCCTCGTAGGTCTGGGAGGGAATGAGACGGAATAGACTGAGTAGTAAAGTCTTCTGGGCGTTAGGTAGAACACGGGCTTCCACTGTCCACAGTCACTGATTAGTAGATAACAATTTTAAATAACTGACACTGAAATATAGTACGATCAATTCAGAAGGATACTCTAAATTTTTGAATCATTCTACAGCCTCGCATCAACAATTTTTTATGTCTCGGGAGTAATAAGGACTTGAACTCATTTCATGCCGCGGAATCTAAACGCCCACTTGATGTCCTTGTCATATAAATAACTATTGTAAAAAAAATTACCATTTCAGCAACGACGGGGCTGCTTTTATAAACGAAAATCCTTTTGGGCTTTGGTGGTGGAGTCGTGGGATCTCTAGCGCCTCTAAATGGAGAAAATCTTGAGAATGACGGCGAATTCCAGCGTCTATAAGTAAAGCGATCTTTCTTTTCTGGGGTTAGCGTTAGATTTAACGCTTTATCTGGAAATAAAAGAACACTTAGTCGAGGGTGAAATATATTATTATCTCATGAATCGTGGATGTCAACCTGTTCGGCCATATTCAAGCAATACATAGAAACTACTGAAACAGATATCTCAATAAAGGATCTAAACTATTTCCTACTTCATGGAATATTTAAGCAATTGAGAAAAATTCTTCACTTAAATCTGAAATGGCACAAATGCTCCAAGAAAAGCGACTAACAGTTTTAAATCAGGCAAGAGGTTTTGTAAAGTTGAGACATTTATTTATGTGCACGCTAGATTCAAATAATTTTCAACAAGGTTGTCCAAAGGAATATTGATATTCTTGGGAATAACGATTTTTCTATCACAGACATGAGAGTACTACCGGTCTATGTTTTTATGAATTTATAATTATATCATCCAACAAACTTGAAGTTTATCCAAGGCCATATTTTTATTGTATTCTCAAATATCTAACCACTAAAATTAGCGGTTAACTCTAAATCGAAAACAAGAAAGTAGCTTAATTTCGCATGTCCAGGTTTTCTATACAATCTCATAAATACTGCACTTGTAAAATTTGCTTGACAGTTCGTATTCTTTTGTATTGCTTAATGAGTGCGAAAGGAGATTTATTATTTTCTAAAAATAGTATTCACTGAATCTTTGAATAACAAAATCTAATTAAAAAGATATCCTAAACGTAAAAAGTCTAGAGGAGTGGTTGACTTGCATCATTCTACTATTAAAATATATCCAATTGGAAACTAGAAATATTTTCAAACTTTTCAATTAATAAGACACTTACCTGGAGTGCTAGGGGTCGAGCTGCTTACTCTTGCACCACGTTCCCTGAAAGCCCTCTTCAGCTTTTTCAAAGATTTCTTCACCTCCTTCAACATGTTCACTTAAATTATCACTTCACTTCAGGATACGTTCTTGTCAAATGTTTGAGCGTAAATGAACCATATGGTCCCGAAAACTGGGGTTTTTATGCAAAGTTGAAAGGGTACCTGCTCAATCTAGGGTAAATGTGTTATGAATGGCAACTGGAAGTGCTGAAATAATACCTTCAAGTGCAATTCTCTATTATTCGAATGAAAAGGCACAAACAGGTAGTATATGTAACTGAGAACCATCCAGTGGCGCAGCAAGGGGGGTGGCGGGAGCGATCCGCACCGGGTTTGGGGTGACACCCACCCGGTGACTCAGCTTTAAGAACAATGTACAAACATCAACAAAATTAAATCGCTAGCACAGCTGTCCTTGATTCCTACACAAGCACTAGCTCAGCTCTATTATGTAAACGAGATCGTACAAACAATTCTGGAGAATTCTGAAGCACTAAAATTAGATACATCCTAATTTACTGATTTTTATGACGAGGTCTCAGAAACAGAATTACCTTTGGAGATACCAAAACTGCGAAGGCACTTGAACATTACAGTTTCAGATTGGGTATCTCTGAATCTCTGAATTTTTTAAAGTTTATTGTAGAACGGGATTTTAAAGAATCCCTTACAAATCTTATGATTACACAAAAATTGTTCATGACGGTTTGCGTGTCCGTAGCTTTATGTACAAAGAGTTTCAGGAAACTAAAATTAATAAAGACTATCTGCGGGCAACAACTACCAAATCGCGGCTTAGTAATCTTGGTATACGTATTAGCCATCGGACACGAGGCAATACAAAATATATATTTTGATGAAGTTATTTCTGACTTTGCAGCTATCAAAGGTACAAAGAAGAGATTGTAGTTGTAAGCTAAAAATATTTTGTCTGTCTTGTTGTTCGTTCAATATTTTAAATATAAATATTGAATGATCCATGACGTTTATAAATCATATAAAATTTATTGCTTTTGACTTTCGATGGGGTGACACCACCAACTTCCGCACCGGGTGCCATCCAAGGTAGCTACGCCACTGGAACCACTTGTTGCATATTGTAACCTGGTATACAAGACCTAGTAACAGGGTATTTCGCGAAAGGTTTGAATGGGATTAAACAAAGCCGTCCTGTACCTTTAAGAGGCTTATGAAATGGATACGAGTAATGATTACGTGGGGTTTTCCCAATTCGGTTCTACTTAGAAGCGTTGATGTAAAATAAATTAGCTCAGAAAGTCACTTAAACGTTGTTCCAGACTAGAAGGGCTTTCTTTGTCAGTAATTTTTTTGATGATATGTATTACTTGCAGCAGAAAATCAGACATATCGTTTACAAATGGAAACCCTAGGGTTCGTACAGTTTTCTACAGTTCATTTGAAAACTTCCCATTACGGATTTATCGAAAACCACTGATTAAAAAAAATCGCCGAGACACTTCAAATTATTTGTTAAGAGGGACAACTTTTTAACCAAAACCTCCTTCATCCCCTCCACCCTCGGCCCCCCAGGGTCATTCCCTTAAACATTTTAAGTGACAAGGGGTATCGAGTAATGGCTTGCTTGAAAGGTCTTTCAAAGTTTTTTTTTTGACGTTTGATTTTTAAAACCAGTCGATCCGCTTTCGAGAAATCGAGAAAAATCTTTATTTATCTCAGTTGGGTTCAGATAGAAAACAAAAAGACACCTTTTATTACAATAATTGTTCAAAATGTTGCTGTTAGCAAAGATAACTTCGCATAAGTATGTTTTGGACCTTGTTACTAAATTTACTCAACCTGGATCTGTTGCAAACAAAAAAGAAATATCATAGGAGACTTTTGGATAAAGCCGCTCAAGTTGAATTTTTGAGTCATTTTGGAATAAAACCTAATAATTCATTTCGCAAAATGTTGCTGCGACTGGTTCATTAGGCTCTGTACACACTGTTACTAAACTACATAAATTTCATCCATTCAAAATTAAAGTATTGCAAGAGTTAACCGAAGATGATTTCGATAGGCGAGTTGAGTTTTGTGAACAAATGACTGTAGCGATCAATGATAATACCATTCGTGTAAAGAATAACTGCTTCAGTGATGGATGCACATTTTATCTAAATTGATTTGTTAATAAGCATAACTGTAGGTATTGGAGCAACGAAAATCCTCATGTTTTTGTAGAAGGGCATACCCAGTACCCCCAAAAAATTAAAGAATGGGCAAACATTTTAGGAAGCAAAGTGATTGGGCCATTGTGTATAAATGGATAGGGCGAAGAATGCCTATAGAACGGCCTGCTAGATCTCCTGATTTGATGCCATTAGACTTTTTTCTATGGGGCCATTTGAAATCTATTGTGCTTACCCCCAACCTGAAAGTTTGGATGAATTTCGTCAACGCATCATCGAATGCTGCCATGATATCCCACATCATGTTTTTGAAAATGTCCGTCAGGAATTTGAACATCGCCTATATCATTGTTTGGCCAATAACGGGCAATCTTTTGAACACTTATTGAAATAAAAGTGGTATTTTCGTATGTGTTTTTGTTTCCTATCTGAACAAATTAAGATAAATAAAGCTTTTTCTAATTTTCTTGAGAACGAATAGACCTATGTTATTTTGAAAAATCAAACGTCGAAAACAAAGAAATTCGAATGACTTTTTACTCGATACCCCCTGTCATTTCAAATTTTTAAGGGGATGACCCTGGGAGGCAGAGGGTGAAAGGGGGTGGAGTAGTTTTTGGTAAAAAAGTTGTCCCCTTTGACAAATTTTATGTCGTGTCTCGGCGTTTTTTCTTTCATTCAGTAGTCTCCGATAAATTCGTGGTGGGTGGTTTTCGAATGAACATATACATCCATGAAACATACATTTAGTTCAAATACAAAAGTTTTAATATACAGGGTGGCTCATTCATGCGTGGACGGTATATTACTCATAAACAAATACATTATGGGAAAATCATGGCGTGATATACGTGATATTTGAGGGCACATTTATAAAATATTGGCAATTATCCAGGGTGTCCCAATTTTGACCTACATATCAAAGTTGTGATTTTTTAAATGGAACGCCTCAAATTTGATTGCGTATTTGGATAAACCAATTCAAAAGAATCAAAAAAGAAGATTGATATAACCTACTATGGGGTTTTGGTTATTAGCTACTGAGATGTAAGGTGTTTTGTCCAGAAAAACCGTCTAGTTCGGCAACCGCTCAAACCGCCATTTTGAAATTTGGAGTGCTGAATTTTGTATCAAAAAAAACTTACACACCTCGGCTTTTATTGTATATGTTATTTTTTCGAAGTTTCATTTTTGCTCATACAGGGTGGTCAAAAACGCGAACTGTACTTTTTCTCAAAAATTTCTCCATTTATTTTGGAAATCTATTTGCCTAACCCAGTAAGAGTTTTCCGTCGCATAACAGTGCATGATATGCCTGTTGACAACATCTATGCTGTTAAAAGTTGGCTCATCGCTAAAAAGAACCTTATCCAGGAAAGTAGGGTCTTCACTCACTTTATTTAGCATTATTCTACTACTTTGGATAGAAGTTCTGCATATATCAGTTTCTGTTCCAATTTGCCGTGCACTTAATGGGGACTTTCCTGTAACTTTAATAGAACCTCCAACTGATTCGCCTCATTGGCGATACATGGATTATTTATACATTTACTATATTCCACTGTCCCACTTGATCCACAACGTTCCCGTAGTGTAGGAAACCATATTCACTATTTCTTCTTTAGAAAAATTCATGTGCAAACACGTTTTTACTATAATGCTCACAAAGCCAATTTTGACTGTTTGTAACTAATCAACAATTTATTTGTTTCCAAGCATGATGCGATATTTTAGGGAATCATGCCGTTCCATAAAAGAACCTAAAAATAGCCGTGAAAACCCTTATGTGTCTAGTACCAAAAAAAAGCTTATAAAAATTAAATCCAAACTTACACAAATATACAGGGTGATGCTTTTGAAATTTTTGAGATAAACTACAATTTGCGTTTTTGACTACCCTGTATGAGTAAAAATTAAAATTCGAAAAAGTAACAAATAAAATGAAAGCTGAGGTGTGTTAGTTTTTTTTGGTACAACATTCAACACTCTAAATTTCAAAATAGCGGATTGAGGGGTTGCCGAAGTGGTTTTTCTGGACAACGCACCTTACATCTCAGTAGCTAATTACGAAAACCCCATAGTATGCTACATCAATTTTCTTATTTTGAATTGGTTTGTCCAAATAAGCAATAAAGTTTCAGACATTCCATTTGAAAAATCACAACCTTGATATGTAGGTCAAAATTGGGTCACCCTGTATAATGGCCAATATTTTATAAATGTGGTCTCAAATGTCATGTATAACATCCCATAAATAGATTTTCCCAAGATGTATTTGTTTATGAGTAATATTCCGTCCACCCATGGATGGGCCACCCCTGTATTCAACACCTTTAGACTTTCTTATGACTTGGGAGTCGACAAAAGACCACTAATTATCAGCGAACTGTCTAATTGGAAGCATTGAATTACTCAGAATTTGGGGCATAAGAAACTTCTAAAACTTATTATTGTTAAGTGATATATGGGACATTGCTGGATATTCAACCTTTTAGTCTCCGTAAAAAAATTTTGCCTACAACCTAAAGGGTTTAAAGAACCAGGTAGTTTCCTGATGAAGAAAGGCTTTCGGCTAAAATTGAAGAAATTTCGCATGAGGTAGTTTTCAACATGGCGACCGAAATACCCAATATGGGCCAACTCTGCAAGCTAAGATTTCTCTCAGACTAGCCAATAGTGATCATGGTCAACTTTTAAAAGTGGTATAGCCTACTTTTCACCAGGAAAATGAACAAAGCGGAACATTTAACTTAATGTAGTACTTGGCCATTTCGAAAACGCATGGTCAGGAAATCCCTTCCAGACCGATAGAACCCAGAAGTCTCTAATTGGGGCGTACGGAGAGATACATGATATTATTATAACTTGTAATATTGATAGACAAGAAGTAACACGTACTTT